TGTGAGAAAATTCGAATGCTCTCGAGCACATTTGCAACGCTTTATTTACAGTTAGCTACGCTTCTCATATGCAACATTGTTGTGTTTGTACACCATCTTTCTCCAGTGTCTACACAGGGTGCGACATCGATCGGTTGACGCCGTCCCCGGGTGACTCTCCGCGCTCTCAGATCATGCCTAGCGCAAGATATGCCATGACTGGTTCTTTCCTGCAGGACCAATTTGTCAGCTCGTATGCCAAGTCCCGCTTTCACCCTGGCATCGGAGGCGCTCCTGGCACGGACCGCAGCGTCCCACTTTGTAACAGCTTGCTCTCCCCGCAACAAACCGAGGAGACCACGGTGGCCTCCCCGCAGCGATGGTTTGTCACCCCTGCCAACAACCGACTGGACTTTGCCACCTCGGCATACGATGCTGCGGCAGCTGCTGATTTCGCCGGTAACGCGGCCACCCTTCTGTCGTACGCGGCTGCCGGTGTTAAAGCGCTGCCCTTGCCCGGGGCGGGATGCTCTAACAGACCTCTGGGGTATTATGGCGAGCCGCCGGGGTGGGGCACACGCACGCCGCCGCAATATTGCAGCAAGTCCAGCTCCGTCCTGTCATGCTGGCCGTCCAACTCCGTGGGGAGCCGAACGACCTCCAGTTACCTGGTCCATGGCCTCGAGGACGGAGACGCCATCGCGCCCGAGAGGTCACCGCTAGGCGGGGCGGATGAGTCCAAACCCAAAGACCTGTCTGAATCCAGCTGGATAGAAACCCCGTCCTCAATTAAGTCGATCGATTCGAGCGATTCTGGGATTTTCGAGCAAGCCAAGCGGAGGAGGATTTCGCCATCTGCCACGCCGGTTTCCGAGACATCGTCTCCATTAAAATCTGAAATGTTGACGCCGAGGGAATGCGAGAAAAACTGCGCCAAGGACATCGGCTACTACAGCTTTTACCCCCACAGTTAGAAAATGTTCAAGAAACCTGTTGAAGGATTCACGAGTGACGTATAATCTATTTATTCCTATTTATGTGTTTATTTATTCATATATATTGGTCGCGTCGTTCGAAGGACGTCAAGCACCGAGTTTTAAACGAAAAACTTTGACATGCACGAAAACCTGAGCAAGCGGTTTTCGTTCCCAAATGACATTTTAAGGTTCTAACTGTCAAACCTACTGTAAGTATGGAAGAACTGTACATATTTGTATTTATCTATCCATTTGTGATTCTTCTCGTTGAATGTTGATGTACAATATAGAAAACCGGATTGGGTTTGTTTAATGTACTTAGACGTTTGTTCGTTCGAATAGCAACATTATATTAAATATTTTGATGTTTGAAAAACTAAGGATACAACTCGTATAGGTTCCCGGTTCCAGTTGTTATGAAAAACAATGGTCTGCCTGAATTGGAAGTAGCTGCTTACCTGTTGAAGAGGCCCCCAAAAAGAGTCCCTCTGACGCATGTCTGTAGGAAGTCGGATTTTATGTAAGCTTATATTGATGTTGCTTTTAGATTCGCGTCGTCTGTTCGTAAATATCATAGTACTTAGGTTCATTTTGTGAGCGTTTTGTGGACGTATGTTTTTAACCACACCAGAGTAACTTAATTTATCCCCCTTTTTTTTTTTTTTTTTTTGGTAGAGATAAAAACATAGACTATCATTTAACCTATTGCCAACCCAGACATTTTCATTTGTATTTCATGGGCTGTTTTCTCATGTGAAAAACGCGAGTTAGGCCTGCTAATGTGTAAAGGTAATGTGATTGTGGTGTGCTTAATTGCAATAAATATGACCGAATGTGAAACCCTGGGCGAAGTACACAAGAATCAAACTAAGCTGATTTCAAAACCAAATATTTCTGTTCCATTTTTCTCTACCTGTCTTAGAGAGGTATATCGTTAACGCCAGTCACAATGTGGATTTTGTTGCCTGTACGATGCATTTTTTATAATAAAATGTAGTCATGCAATGCAACAAATAAGAAAATCGCCCAGAACAACCTTTTTGGCATTTTATATAGGATACTTGGTTAATTCGACTCCTTTTTTTTTTTTTTTTACTTTAAATGGGGAAAAATACTGTTGGCTACTTGATTTTACAGTAGCCCTAAAGTTAAACAGGGAAGGCACTTAATGTATCAGTGTCACTGCATGAAATAAAATATCAAACCAAGTACCATGCATTAAATGTAGCACAAAATTGTTTCAGATTATAAAATAAGAGGTTCAAAGTTAAGACTGTAGTATTTGGACAATTTCTGATTGCTAAATATAAGTGCAAAGTCATTTACTTGAATGGCCAAGACAGGTAATTAACCAGTTATAAGGACTAAAATGCCCTGGATTTTTAGAAAAATGTATGGACTTGTCTAATTGAGTTAGACACTGTAGTGACCTAAGTATTTGAACATAAAAGGACAACATGGCCTCATAAAGATATAAACTGCCCCTGAAAATTAATTGTGACTTCACACATCCACTATAATATCATTGCAACATTTGGATAACATTCATTGTGTAAACTGAAGTTCTTTCAGTTGATATTGATTTGATATTTTATCTAATGCAATTGCATTTGTTTTTAGGTGTGACTTGATCCACCTTTTGGCCTCTAATACTAGGCTATATTACACACAATCTAAAACATGACAACATTTACCAATAGAGTTTTGTATAATACAAATCTTTAACTTTCAATGATTAAGCTTGTTTCCGTCCATATAGAAACCGAGATATATGAATATAAACGAGCACTCAAGTATTGCCAAAAGCAGACTTTGCACACTATTCTGGAAATTGTACAATTTTCACTTACATTTTGTAAGTTGTCCAGAGTTTCGAACAAATATATAAAATGTCTATGTTATAAAACACTACACCATTAGCACTTTATCCTGGTCCTAGCCCTGTACTGCATATTTATTCGTGTTTCCCTTATTTAATACATCTGAATTAAATGATCAGCTAGTAAACTATTATCACTAGTAAACTATTCAAGACCTGAACTGTGTGGGTCAGAAAGGGAGACATCCAAAATGTGCAGTTTTCCAGGAGCAAAAAGAAAGCAGAAAAAGTGAGAGTAGTGTGATAATATCCAACTGAGAAATGAGAAATCCTGTATGCGTTTTGATAGTTTGCTGCCTCCCTGTGGTTCAGTGATAAGCTGCCTAGTAAATAAAGTAACCCTTTTAAACAGTTACTTTAGAGTTCTAGTGTAGAATTATGAGATTAACCTACAGTTCATTATTTGCTTCAAAAATCTGATGTCAAAGGAAAAAGCCAGTTTATCTGTAAACCCTAAAACCTGTATTACACAATTGTGAACACTAGATGGCGACAACCTCGTAATGATGAAACCAAAAGACACTTGCATCATATTGTAGCCTATGTAATTATACACTATTATAATGAACTATATACTATATAATATAATTTTATACTAGTTTAATTATATAATATATTAACTTTATATAATACATTATTATTCAATGTAAGAATATATTAATATTGGAAAAATATGTGGAAAATATTGCACTGATGAGAAGCAGCCTGACGTACCAAACATACACTGTCCCAAAAAGCATTCGGATAATCCACAAAATCAGATAACAAAATATTAAACTAAGTGGCATTTATTAAAAAAAAAGAAGAAGAAATTATAACACAAGGAAAATGTATACACAAATGTTTGTTAGTCATTGAGCACAAATGATAATTGGTTTGATACTGCGCTGTCTAATGCAATAATTCAAACACAAGTTTGACTTAAATGTCCAAAGAATGTATATGAGGAGGAGGCTGTTATTGTAGATGATGTAAAAAGCAGCTTAAAGATGGTCCAGGATTTCTTTCTTTCTTTTTTATCTTTAATATCCACCTCATCCAAATAATAAATAAGTTGAGCCGTAGTGCAGGCCTGACAATGGCAGTGCAGATGGCAGATTTAAAAGCGTAAAAACTGATCATGACTGTTTCCAAAGTCATCAGAGTTATTGTAAAGAAGAAAGCGTAAATTGAATAATATTAGATTTATTGTTATTATAAAGATCATATATATAGAGGAGACCTGGTCTAGTTGGCACAGTTTTACTTCAGTATTTCTCAGAGTAGATTTACTGTATATTTAAACTGGACATTTAAGTCAGACTTAAAAGTCTGGCAAAAACGCTATTGAACATTTTTACCATTACTGGCCCTCACTAAACATACAGTGGGGCATGTTGTCACACTATAGAGGTAAGTGTACATGATGGGATCTTTCCATTAAATACTCAGTAAATAGCTACTTAATGGTTTTCAACAGAATTTCAACAGAAACAGTAATGAAACGACAAACATTGAAATAATAGCATCTAAAAATATCAAACCATTGTTTCGGCCAACATAAATTGGAATAAATTGTATAGAATTAAAAATGCCCTTGTCCCGAGAATAGTTATTTGTTTTTTTTTGTGAATATTGCATGTAAAACTTGTATCAGAACAAGGTAACCATCTATAGTCATCTCAATAAAATAAAAATGCACATTTTATTATTTACACTAGGATGCAATCCAAATATGCTAATGAAAATTAACATTTGCTCGCCCACAATCTTCTGTCTTTCTTTCCTTTGTGAAACGCAAAAACTTTCTGAAACTTTCATATGGACAAAAACGCTTCTTTTGTTCCACAGAGGAAAAATAAGCAAGGATGGGGAGTAAATGAAGACGAAATTTGTAGTTTTGGGTGAACTATCCCTTTAAGACAGTTTTGAACTGCTATTAAAATAAGCAATTGTGAAATTGGACTTTTGACTCAAAATAGTTACTAAGATGCAGACAAACGTGACCATTAGTTCTGCACGGTCTCCTGTACTTCTCCTAGTTATTTGTACAAAATGCATCTGTAATCTCTGTTGTAAGGCCCACTCCTGACAAATTTCGAGGCACTATAACATAATGCCCCCTCCCCTGTGGAGTTTAAGTGCTACTACCCACTGCTGCGTCACACAACAGCTACATGCGCCCTTATGAGTGAGCACTGTAACAATATCACTGCACTAAATATGTGAGCAGAGCACATCATCTGCGCTGATCGGCAACGCTGCACGCAGTACGCACTACACGCACTGGAGCCGATCTACAGGTACAGAAGATGGACGTGAAGGACCAAGGCGCTCAAATGGAGCCTCTGCTGCCCGCGGTAAGCCGCTCTGTGATCAGTCGTGTTAACACTGCAGCGCACGGCATCTGTCCGATCGGGGATCGTATGATCTGATTGAATGCGTGCGTGAGAGACCTTGAGTTTGACTGAATGACTTGAGCTCGTGCGTGTTTTGCGCCTCTGCGGTTCGAAGGCGACACGCATGTTACAGTTGCATTCTGCTGCAGTGCATGTTGCAGATCAGGACGCATTTTACCAACGCGTTCACAGGTTCATCGTAGATTATTTTAACGTGAAATGTCTGTATTTACATGCAAGATGCATTCAACGTCATTAAGCAAACTCAGATGAGAGGAAAAATCAGCAGAAAGAAGAGATTACATTATGCGTAAAGAAAATGAAGTCTAATTGAAGGTTGCATTGCATTTTTCATGACAATTAAGCATACATTTCTTGCCAAATTCGCATTGTGAAGAAGTATGATATATTATTCAAATTTGAAAGTATTTGTACTGTACATCATGAAAATATTTGATGGGCTGTCTTTAATTTGTTAATTAAAAAAATGAAATTGCACATACTGCAATACAATGACTGATTGTAATTCAATTACTTTCTACTGTAATACAGTAGAAAAAATACTGTATTACAGTAATGAGAAGCTATTCAGTTGTCATGAAAATAATGTAACTTGATTAAATGTAAAATAACAATAATTATAATTATAATTATGTAATTATTATACATTTGAATCGTCCTCATAAATAGGATTATGACATATTTTTCTTGCATTGTGACATTTTCATGTCAATTAAGCACATTTACCTCTCAAATGTTCATTATCGTAATGAGTACAGATATTTTACTATTATTTTTATAATTGCTATTAATATTCAAATATGATTTTTTATTTCTATATTTCTAAAAAATATTTTGTTATATATATAAATATATGCAAAATATTATTTCTTTATTCTTTCTTTTGGGGTGGAAGGAGGGTCACATTTACTAAACCACCTTTAACCGGCACATTTCCTATGCTTTCAAAATATAAATGTGATACTGCAGTAGATGCGAGTCTATGTTTAATCCAGGATCTAATGATTCTCTCAGAGAGCAGGTTTAACAGCTGTCAGCGTCATTTTCATTTACAAGTCGGATGAGACTTACTGTGACTGTAGATTATCTGTGACCCCGGAGCAATAGATCAGGCAGTGAGGTCTCACACGACATATAGGGTTTTAATGACCAGTTACATATAAAATCAGTGGATTCTATGAGCTCAACAGCCCGAGGCCAATAAAGGCATTTAACAGATGCTATGCAACTGTTTTTGCTTCAGATTTTACATTTAGCATCAAAAATGTTCTCAAGATCAAACATTCATATTTATATTCATTAAGATAGGGTTAAGACCCACCAGTTGAGGACCACTGATCTAAAGTGGCTTTCATTTGATTGTGAGCTCACTGCTTATCAGATTTATGGGGAATAGTTAAATGTAGAACATCAAAACAATATTCCTCTCCAGTGCCTGGATCAATAAACACTGTGAGCTTCATATGAACAGTCCAGATCTTTGGCCAGAAAGCTGCTGCTGAATCTCCTGCTAGCTGGAGCATCTCAGACAGGCCTAGTTTTATCAGGCTATAGAGCTCATTTGCACTTGTCCAGCTGCAGTGGGCTCTATTTTTATTTTTGACGTGACAAATGGCAGTCCAAGCCTGGCTGTGCTTCATTTCTGAGAGGAGTTTGTGACTGAGTGAGATGAATAAGTTTCTGAATATATATTTCAGCAAGTATGCTATACATCATTTAGTGATGAAAGGGCTTAAATCACATCAGAATCAGATCATTAACTTTATGGGGTTAAACTTAGTTTGTTCAGTGAATACAGTTTAAGCCTGCAGTAGCATATTTGATATGCACATTACTGAGACCTCAAATTTATCCAAAAGATCAAAAGTTTGCTGAAAAACCTGTTGTACACAATCTACTACATGCCTAATGTCGTCTGACTGATAGACTTTTTTTTAGCACATAAATGTCCTTTTAGTATAATTGTACAAGCCTCCACCTTCAGTTGGCGGTTCGCGTGTCTTTTAGCTGTGAGATCTTTACTGATTTTTTATAAAGTAAATGCAAGAATAACTATTGTCAGTATATTTTAACACTTACCGGACTGAAGCAGCTTAGCTTTACTTGATTATCCAGACATCTTTTTTTGGGAAAATCCTGTTCAAATGTGAGCATCAAATATGATCTTTAGGCTTTTGAGGAACATTTATTTGTTCATCTCTCAATCATCATTGTATTGCATTGCATTATATGTTTTGATCATAAAACAAAGCATTTAAATATCATCTTACTAAGACATATTATTGGAGATATGACGACTGATATTTATATAATTTTATGTACGCATCTGCTGTACTGTTATAAAGATCTCATTGATTTACATTACAAGCATTAGAATGTCATCTTAATTTTTGGCCATATAAATGTCAGCATCTGCAGCATATTTTTGCTCAGTTTGGGCCTCTGAATAAAACTGAGGTGTTCTTCCTCTATATTCTCACTGTATCATACTATATGAGCCATAAAAGCAATCAATTATGATACTCAACAAAAAACACATATGCAAACTTTTTTTGTCTAAAGTTTCAATAAACTGTTCTATTTAAAAACAAATTAGATTTTTCGGACTATTATTTCTTATGTCAGGCTTTACAGGGTTAATGTTAGTATACTGTGATATATTGCTAAAGATTTAGAGTAAGACTTATGATCTTAAGATATTAGAGAGACGTAAAAAAAAAAAAACAGCATTGAATTCAAAGTCCCTTTAGACCAAACTCATTGACCCTGAGTGTGTTTGTGTGTGTTGGAGACATAGGCGGAGGGTGAACCAACTCCAGGGTAAGGCTAAAAGCAGCCAAATGTATTAAACATCATAAACCCGTCTTTTTGTGCAAGAACCAGACATGGGTGTCATGTAGGCTAAAAAAATGTTTAATGGGACTGAATTTGTATTTAACATGATTACAATTTAATAAAAACTTTAGAAATTGATAATTATATAAAGTTTCCTTTTCACGGTTATTCAAACAGCGAATACATTATATATAGAAAGTGACATTCCCTTTCAGTCGGTCACTCTCGACGTCACGTCGGATGACCGACGAATTGGGATCTCGCTTAAAGGGCCCAATATACTTCGAGTGTAAACTAAACGAACCAATGCACATTGGCATGCGAACTATCGTTATAATCACTGAAGCTGTATACACTGTGAAATAGGGCTGTCAAAATGACTGAAAAACTACATTCGAATTTTCTACTTAAATATTATCAAAATTCGAATTATATTTGAATTTAAAAAGCATAATTTCAGTAAGGGGGAAAAAAGCTTTTGGCTTCTCTCCTGAGGCCACAATAGGGCGCATCGAGAAAAATATTATGCACGTTTCTTCAAAGCGTAATAAAATAACACGACTATCTTTGAAAAAAAGTGCATAATGTTTTGTATGTATAGTTTAATACAAAGGACCGAAAACCAGTCACAAAGAGTAGGCTACTTTCTTCATTTAAAAACATGAGATAAAGTGGGATGGGGAAAAACCGCCATAACGTCTTTAGACATGTTTTTTAAAAGTTGAACTTGCATTAATTTTACATGGCTTTCTAAACATGCCGCTCTCTGCGAGACGCGAGTGCAACGCTCTCGCGTTGAGCAGATCTTAATTTAATGCCGCAATCGACACTGTCTATTCATATTCACTTTGTTAGCAACAGACGTAATAGATTTAATTTATTTGTGCAGGGGCATTTTTGTCCAATTTAGTGCCATTTTTGCCCCAAGTCCCCGTGGCCAGGGGAAGGCTAAGCCTTTTCCAGCCTTACACACACTCCACCTATGGTTGGAGACTTGTACTTTTCACACCAGAACATGCATAATGTATACGTTTAATCATTCAAGCAAGCACCTCTAATCACCTCAGAACGTTTCTTTTCATTATTGATCCAGTGTTGGCAGAAAAGCAACTTTTGAATGACCCTTAAAACAGTTCTGAGTAGGTTTGTGTTTAAAGCACTTTAGCACATGTGTAATTAGGATTGTCTGAGGTATCAGTCATATGTGTGATGCCGTTCAGTTACAGAATGTGTCATTTAAGGATTTGTGACGTGATGCTTTTTCTGTCTGGATCAATTAAACTGTTCAAAAATATATATAAAAAAATGACTTTATACAGACAATGACTTGAATACAGCTTGATATGTATTTTATATGTTTTCTGTGGCATTTCAACAAAGGTTGTTGTAAGTGGTGTAACAGTAATTTAAGTAGTTTATTATTGTTTTTTTTTTTTTTTTTCGAATTATCTGATAAAGCCAAAAAGCAGTAAAACGATTTTATCTAAATGTAAAATATTATTAAATATTTTATAATATATAACATTTTCAAATATTTTAATATAAATACAATTTTTTTATTTTAAATATAAACATATTTTCAGTTATTGGGTCATGTGACAAAGGCATAAAACAGGAAATGACATCATAGAAAGGACCCCTGTAGACCCTTATGATTATGTGTTAAGGTCAGTAATTTTCATTAAAATATCTTTAATATATATTGACCTTTTTCTGACATGGCAAGGTTAGTTCAAATGTTAAATTTTGTAAGACATTAAAATAATGATATTCATGATTTAAAAGGTCATGAAATTTCTTTAAAAAATGTGATGAAGATGTGTATTTAAGGTATTTAAAAGTATTTTAGTACTTTTTATTAAATGGCTTTTATTTACTTTATTTGTTGAACTCATTTCATAATTGCTGAACTTTACACAATTATTGCATTTTAAGCTGTATATGTCTAAACCACAGATATATCTACAGTTAAAGCACCACTTGTTAAAGATTAGCGCATGAACACAGAGCGTGTAGAAGTTCTTTCAAAGGTTTCCTCTCTCACATATCACAGGACAATATAATGATGGCTTTTGCAAAGCTCTCTGCTAAGACAAAGCTAAGCTTTATTATTCAGATTACATTGAAAAACATTTTCCACTCAGCGTGAGTCCCGAGCAGATGAATAAAGCTACTTATTATTGCTTAATGGAAAATAAACATTGAGCAGTACAGAGACTTGCATTATGTCACGCTGAAGCAGGTAAATTGTGCTTCCAAGACGATGATAGTTGAGATCCAATTAAGCATATTGTTAAGACTAATTGGTTGTAGTAGTCTAGAGCTCGTAATCTCAGTATGAATGTACTGATATGAATGAATAGTAGAATAAAAATGCATCCTAAGTCTTCTCGCAATACTTTGGATAATCCGCTAGAGATGCTCATGTAATGGCCTTTAGCAGAGATTAAGCATGTACGCAAGGCTTCTGAGGTTGTTTTTCAAAATAATTGGTGCTCTTTGGATATCTAGGATTATTGTGTTTGAAAGGGAAGGTGTCCTGGCACCTCCTCTGTTAAACTTGTTCTCCCTTTTAGGGGGTAAAATAAAATTAGAGCTGGTAGAAATTCACTCAGTGCCACCCGAAATGCCAGATATGCGCAGTTTTAGTGCCTGTAAATATGCAACAGTGTGATTGCCTTTCAGTGAATGCTCAAACTATATGGTTTATTAAATGACTATATGGTCATTTAATATGCTTTTGTAAACCCAGCCACAGTTTAGCTGCAATGAAAGCATGCAAACTGCATTTTAAATCTGAATTAAATGCATTTGCATCCTTTTTTCTGATTTTGAAATGCATTTGACAGATGTCAACAGAGTTCGCCTGTGCTTTTTGCATAAAGTTCAGCATTTCACAAATTTCTGACGCTCTCACGACTTGCTGTGCTCTGCTGTCAATCCCACAATTGCAAGCCTGTGACTAAGCTGCCTTAGAGAATGAACTGAAAACACCAGTTGGCAACAATGGTCAGATTCACAATGGTTGTTAAGAGTAAAGTTAATGTAGATCACCAATGGTATGGGTTCTATCTTCAAAAAACCCTCAAACTAGCACAATACTGTGTTTTTCCTTAAAAATAATAAGTAAAAAAATTATGCATAGTAGGGCTGCACAATTAATTAAAGTAAAACCTGATATCACAATATGGCAATATGGCACAATATGGCAAAAAAACGGTGCTCTAATAAATAAATTTATGCACTGTGTGTTTCAGAGTAAAGCGCAGCACTGTGTTCATTTGAGCAGCTTATTATTACTAAAGTAGTAATATTTCTTACTATTGTTTGTCTAGTAATTTTGATAGTCATTAGTCAAATAGTCAAATAGTCATTATTATTATTATTATTATTATTATTATTATCTTCAAAATGTTAAATAATAATAATGATTATTATTATCAAAATAATAAAAATAATAATTATTAAAATGTATTGACAAAAACAGCAAGACATATTACTACATTTATTATTAATAATAATAAAAATAATTGTTGCATTAGAAATCATAATATTACATTAAGTTTAACATGTTACTATTATTATTATTATAATTTTTTTTAGAAAAATTACAATTAGATTTTCCCCAAAATAGTGCAGCCTTAATGCATACTGTAAAAATGAATAAATAATATAAATAATACTTAACGGTATGCACATTGTGTACTGCACTGACACAAATCAGAAAATTGTGAAGAAGTCCTGAATATGTGTGAATGTATAGTGTGCTAATTAATGAAGAGTAATTAGTAGTGAGTCAAAACAAATGACATGAATTTGATCTGTAAATATTTGTATTTTGCAGGTGGTCACCTCTCCTGAAAGACAAAGTGTGGTGAGTCGATATGTTTAATACACACATATTTTATGATGGTTGATATAATGCCAGAATCTTGTCACAAACCGGACTGCAGCATACATGGATGGATTGGATTGACAAAGAAACTGCCAATATATTTTGATCTGAAGGTCCAGGAATGCTGTTCCAGAACCTGTCAGCGTAAATTATTTTCAATGCATCTGACATTATTCAATCTAATCAGCATGACTGAGCACACCACTGATGATCTACAGCCAGTCACAACTTAAAATCACAGTATGCTTAAACTCCTACTGCGGCAGTTTCTTCCTCATAGCATTTTTTTTCATGCATTCTGCAGCACTGAACCTTCGAGACACCAAAAGGTCACAGATGTTATAAATCTGTCATCTGTCAAATTGAACACTACTCAACACTTGCTCATTTCTGCAGGATTTTAGTCAGAAATGACCTTGAAATGTCAGCGGAATGGTGCATAGTTACAGTAATCTAGCTGCGTATCAGAGATTTATAGCATGTTTTCAAACCATTCTCCTCTGACCTTACAATGCAGCATTATTAGATGAGTTGCATTGGCTTTTTGGGGGTTATGTTCTTGAAATGAATCATTTATGTATTGTTTTGGAAGACAGCACATTTTTGAAATGAGGAAAATCCCTGATGCAAAGCAGCAAAAGATCAGTGAAATGCGCCGCACCGACACTTAAATCGAATCCGCTCTTGTCTGAGAGCGTTTGATCTGCTTCTATATTTGTGCTGAATCTGTGTTACACAAGCGAACGCCTGTACTCTCGTCAGACAGGGGCAGACAAAGGTGAAGGATGAACAGTTTTCAGAGGATTGATTTTCATACAGGATAGTAGGGAATTTTACAAATTTTGGAGCTGGAACAGCCACGGAAACTCAATTTTGTACATATGCTTTATAAGCTAGATGTTGTTCTTACTGTATGTAGTAAAACTTATTCAAGCGACACATTTGTAGCAAATAATTTTTCAGAATTGATTCTTTTCGTTAGCTCTGTTCCAAAACCATTTTAACATCATGTTAAAAGTTTAACTTGTCTCAAATTCCCTGCATCATATTTGATCACATTTCTTGCTGGTTTTGAAGACAAAAACAGATTTGATGATCTCTACAAAAGAAGAAACTTTGAATGTTTATTACTAGTCAGCATTTCATGAACTTGAAGTATACATACACAATTGAAAGTTTGTCATTTATAAGCCAATTTGGATAGAAGCATATGCTAAAGTTTGAATTTCGGGGCGGATATATATATATATATATATATATATATATATATAAACAAACTGTATTCACACACACACACACACACACACACACACACACACACACACACACACACACACACACACACACACACACACACACACACACACACACACACACACACACACACACACACACACACACACACACACACACATATACTAATATAGTTACCGTTATAGTTATCTTTATTTATGTGAACAGGCTTTAAGAGACTGCTTTCAAAAACATAGACAATTCTTACAGACCTTAAACATACTGTATGAACAATATTATTGATAAAAAATGATATCTAAGTTTTTTTCTGATTTTGTTGATAACGATAATTAAATGTTATTTTTCTGAGTGTGTTTTTGTGCTGGTACCTTTGCTGTTTTAGGCCTGTCATGGATAAATAAAAATGACACTAAAACCACCAGTAGGGGGCGGCAAGTCCCTGTCTTAATGAGTGAATCATTGAATCATTCATTCAAACGACTCACTCAATATTAACATCTTGTTTGTTCAACTGTTGTAAAAAATCCATATCACATTCGTGCTCACGCGCTGATATTCGGGAAAATAGCACTCTTGCTTGTGTGATATTATTTAACTATATCATGTCTAAAAAACATAAAAAACAAAAACCCATACAGGGATATTTTGCTTTCATAACTTGAATTATAAGGGCATTCTAACGGCATTCTAATAGGCTTCATCACGCAATGAATACTTTAGGACTCTCAAGATGTGTTTTTTTTGTGTGTATATTGGAGTCTCCTAAAAATCATGAAATAGACTTATATTTTTCCCTGTCTGCTGTCTGTGATGTCACAGCACAGGATAGTCACTAATGAAGGGTCAATCAGTCATTCAATGTTTTCATGACATTGTGTTCCTGTGACTTTAGACTGATAAATCATATTTTGGCTGATTGGGGTGATTGGCTTAAATAGTTCTTCCAGAGAGTCACACACATGCCAAGAACTGCCTCAGAGATGAATGGAAATGCTAGAAGGTATATTAGACCTCATTGGTGAGAACGGTGAGTATAAAGCAAGAGAGAGAACAAGGTCAGGCCTCTTCTGATAGGTCAGCAGTCCACTCCCAGCATGCCTCTGGGGAGGAGGTGGGCAGAATACACTGGTGCAACACCGGGATGCGAAGCAGTTCCTCCCTATGAGAGAGAGAGAGACAGAATGAGATAAAGACAGTGTACGCTTGTATGAGAGAGGCACTGCTTATGTCACTGCTGTAATCGCTGTGTGTGTGTGTGTGCATTCATGAGTGTGTGTGTGTGCGTGCATGCGCTCAAGTTGTACATTAGTTGAAGCGCATGCTGCATTAGTTGAAACGGTCCTGACTTATTCTGGAGCTGGAAAGAAAAACACCAGAGATATGCAGAATTTGGACCTTTACAGCCGACTGGACTCTCAGGTATGAGCGGGATGCTGGTTTTACTCTAGTTCAGGTTTTAGTGGCATCTGCTGCATGCAAACACTGCAAAGCTCTAGGATTTAGTAAATGCATGCATTTTTATGAGGCCCTTGATTGTATTATTGCACTATTAATATTGTCAGATAATATGCATGTTTTAGAGAATTAAAATGAGCTGTTTTTGCGCTTTGTGTGAACTGATTACAATAGTGCAAACTGCAGTAGTGCACTACAGAATTGTGGGTGATGTAGTCTGTGTAATGCAGAGGATGCAGGATGTTTTCTGCAGGCTGAATGTCATTGATCAGATGCGAGGTTAGTGCTGTGGAGGAGGGGTGCAGGAAGCCTCCACTGCTGCAGTAAGAAGCCGGTTACGTGCTGCAGATGTCGGCCAAGACCTCCCATAAATCCAGCACAGATCTCTGACACTGTCCTGCTTCATCCCTCGCCTTCTTTCTAGGACTATGAGAAATAAAAGTACAAAACTGGGATGGTATCCTTTCATAAAAGGTACAAATATGCACACCTTACTTTTAAATAAGTAATATGTACCATTTAGGGCTAGATAAGGTACAAAGATGTACCTTTTAGCTTTTGCACCTTAGGGTACCATCCTATTGACAGCCTTGTACCTTTTTTTTTTCCTGAGAGTGTAGTTCCTACTCAGACAGCATTTTAAGGCATTATTCCAAAATGTTTTAAGAAGCCTTCTTTTGGTTAAATATTTGCTTTGCAGAGAAGACAATCCCATAATGCACTGCAACAAGCTCAGTGACAAAAAATTCTTAGATGACATACTAATGAAAGAAATGCTAACTAAAAATATATGTAATTCATTGCTGACAGTATAGGTTAAAATGGTTCTGTTGAATCAAAAATAAATAATTTACGAATATTTGGTCGATACCAGTGTTATTTTAGTATTACTGATATACTATTATAATTTTGATAACGTTTTGACTTTATTTTTACTTTATGTTTTCACTTAAATTTTAGTTTAAGTTTGAGTAATTTTGTTGTGTGTTTTATTTTTATTAGTTTTTGTCTCTATAGTACTTATTATTATTTATTTATTAAATTTAGTTGATTTAGTTTTATTTATTTTTGTAAGTTTAACTAAATGAAAATGAAAAATTTTGCCTTGGGAATGAGCCGAAATAAAATAATAACATTTTATTTGTTATTTTATTTCAGTTAACGTTCATTTTATTTCAAGTAACACACTTTTTTTTTTTTTTTATATGGTTTACTTTCCTTCAAATGTCTGCCATTAAATCAAATGTGTTATTTCAACACAGTCTCGTGACAATGCATAACTATTTTACATTTCGGCTAATTGGTTGCTAATTCTTATGACTTTGTATGATCTTATTTCATACAATCTGCTCACGCTCCAGTGGCGGTTATGCTTAGGGGTGGGGTTAGGGGCGGGCCTTCATGCTTACTTTTTTTTCTAGAAATCGTTTATATGATTCACATTGTGAAATAGTTATGTTTTCTGGTGAGATCAGGTTGGTTATATACGTAGCCAGCTATAAACATTTTTAAATGACAGTTTAACTAACTTTAACTATCACCACTGATAAGCTACTCCTAAATATAATGTAGAAACCTACATTTTCTGTGAAGCTGCTTTGCGACGATTTTTTATCGTGAAAAGCGCTATACAAATAAACGTGAATTGAATTGAATTGAACTTTCTTGCTCAGCAAGATTCTGTTCATCTTTTATTCTGGCATGACATTAGTTGTAGTTAGACAAAGTAGAAATAAAGTTAGAAAATATTGTAATATTGTAAATATGCAAATATCCTGTTTTGCAATGATGATACTTGCGTATATTTATTTCATAGCATGTATCAAAATCAGCCTTGCATAGCTAAAAGCTTGTCACAATGCATCATGGTTTGTATTTTTCAGGTTTTGGAACAGAGCTTTTGTCAGTTATTCAAGAACTCTGCGTATTTCATGTCAAACAGCTAACTATGTGCATATTCACCTATAGTTAACACTGTGTCATGTAGTTGAGGAGCTCATCCAAAGACTTTAGCTATACAAAGATGGTGCACTCATATTTCTTGAGAAATACAGCAATGTGCACTATGGTGGAATAAGTCGGAATACGTCCCAAATATGTTGCAAATATGGCCTTTGAATGCTTTCCTTGAAAGGGCCTTTGGCTCATCTATGGGCCGCTAAAGCATTTACTGCACTGAACTGCCCTGTATGGATTTGCTGTGCTGCAGCTGATAGTGATATTCTCCTCCATCTGCCCTTTCAGGATGCTCAATATGATTATCTGCTTCA